GTGAAAAACGAACGTTCTAGAAATCTGACCACCGGTGACAGGCGTCGCATAACGGTCGTCCCTGGTCAGCGAACAACGTGCTCTCACGCGGATGCGAGAAGGTCACGAAAGCTTAAATGCCAAAACGCCACCCTAAACACGAATTATAACTACTCCACACAACCTGCAAAGATTTGGTTATTGTGGACTATTTGTTGTTCTATCAGCTGCAAGTCTCATGAGACAACAGATACCCAGCCTGGCCGGTGGTGAGTACAAGAAAATTAATTCATCTATATTCAAAACACATCTATTAGCATATAGTATATTAACAAACACGGCAAATACTATTAGTAAATACGAAGAAATAAAGTTGATTACTAAAATTTAACTGAAAATACCCAAAAAAGGAATTAACGGATAAATATATAATATATATTTATATATATATATAATATATATATATATATTATATATATATATATATATATATATAGTATATAGAAATATATATATATATATATATTATAAATGCAAATTTACAGTTGACTCCGTTATATGAACTCTTTTTTGTGAACTTAATCATCGGTTCCGTTCACTTACATTACGTAATATTCGTAAAACTCGTTTATGAACCGAACCTCGGCTAAAGTGGACTAGAAGTACGTCCCTAGAAATTAATTCCCTTTGAAAAAAATTATATAACTCAGGCCACACATTTCCAAACTAGGAGCTTAAATAGTATCCCCCAAAGCCATAAAAGAAGTAGTGTTCCCGCTCCCCGGAAATAGCACCATACTGTATAACCAATGTCGCTCCGTTTCACTGTGGAAAACGAAAGTCGTGTCCTGCGCGAACGCCGATTGCTCGTCTGTATCACTGTGTTCTGATATTCCGGCATGCAAAGCGCGAGAGCTCGAAGTATCGACAAAAGCACGCCAAGCCCCAGCCTGGCCGTGCCACGCGCAGACATCTTTCTTGCTCAATCTCGCTACCAAAGCCTCTCGTACATTATTAGCGAGTAAACAGGCCCAGAGTATTGGTCTGTATTCCAACAGAGCAAGACGGCATTAAAAGTGTCCGACTCCACTACATACTTCACCACAAAAAGAAAACAATATAAATCATCAATCAATGCAGACGAGCACAACTGTGGAGAAAGATACAGAGAAAAGCCACAGAAAATTACTGAATATGGAAAAAGTTCGAGCAAGCAATTGAAAAGAAATTGGTTTTTAGACAAAGAAGATGGTAAAGTTTCAGTTCGTGCGTTAATGCGTTGCTACTTCTCTTTATTAAATATAATTCAATCTTATGGGAGAACGTGTATTAATGTGATATATCGGATTATCATTAACCAAAATAGTTAGTCCCCAGAATTTCATTATACCGGATCACTGTATATCCCATACTATGGTTCAGGAATGTTCATGTATAGGAATGCAACACACTTTGACACTACTATTGAAGCTCTAATATCATTATTTATAATTCTGCTCTTATGGAAAAATGAAACTACGCAACCACAAAAATACTCAAGTACTTACCAAACAAATTGCTTCGAGAATAAACCTAATACCAGTGGCGCCCGTGCAGAGGTTCAGTAACCTCCATAAAAATGCCGTAGATCATACTTTTTTATTTCATCTGAATTGAAAAGATAATAAAGTGATTTTGTTGGCCTTTAATGAGTATTTCAGAGAATAAATTCTATCAAAATATTAAGTTGACTGCGCGAATGTGTGAAGTGCCGCGTCAGCGTGTAAATAAGTACAAATGTTATATTAAAATTTTTCTATAGTGCGGATAAATTAGTCATTGTTGACACCTCCTGCCTTATAAAATAATCTTCTAATTCAGTCGCGTTAAGGTCTTCTCAACGCGGGCTTGTGACCTCAGAAATCCCATGCTTACGATTTTAAAAAAAAAGAATTTTTTTTTTTCCCATTTTTTTTGTAAAATATGCAACATATTGCCCTGAAAACTAACTGACATTAAAAAAATTACATCACCTTAATCAAATAAACTAATTAGCAGATAAAAAATTGCTGAAGAAAAAAATATCTTTCAGTTTTGTATTGTAAAGACGCCGAAAAAAACAAACTTTTGTAATTGGCGAAAATTAAAGAATAAATGTAAAATAGGATCCTATGCTACCGTTATAAGTGTGTTTCTTGATTTTCTTACAATAAATTAAATAAAAGTGAAGCCGTTTTCGAAAAGCTGTTGAAAATGTTCCGAATCATGTATATACTCCCAAATATTAAAGAATATTTTTTAAATTTCAATGCTTCGACTCGTATTAGATTTTCTTCAATTGAAATAATCCTAAGCATTTTTTTAGTGTTCACAGACAGACCGATGGATGGGACGTTTGCCATCGCTATCGTTAACATTGTTTTCTTAAATTTAGCAACTAATATCACATCTAATTATCAGGCCCTGCAACCCATTTTTTTGCCGAAAATTCGCCATTCTTCATCTAGCAATTCATACTTCTCCAAAAACTACGTGGTTACTTCATACGGTATAGAGAAAAAAAAAACGAATTTTTCTTTGTGATGTTCCACCTTTCTCTCTTAGCATGCACAGAAACGCTCTGCGCACAGTTTGCGTCTGGCAATGTGGCCGTCACTTCACCTCCACACCGCCACAACCGATTTACCCACCTGCACGTCACACCCCACCGCCCCTCCTCTCCCTTGCCACTCCCAAGCCGTTTCGAATGGGTGGAAGCCAGACAGCAGCCAGGCGATCTTAATCGCAGATCAACACACGTAATTCTACTTCTTCTTTCTTAGCATTTTCTAAAGCTCGTGCTTCGCTCCTCTAAGGAAAATACTTTCGGCAAAAAGATGATGGTTCATGAAGAAAAGGGCGCTCTTTCATAATCAGGCAGAACATTTTGAATACACCGATCTTACGCAGTATATTGGGGGGGAATAAGATATCCTGTATTTAATTACTGAAATAACATCATAAACAATTTAGCCATTCTTCATTTATTGCAATAAAAGAGCGCTACGTCATTAAAATGCGATTTAAATAAGTTACCACGTTATTTTAGTATCTCCCTGAAAGTTTTGAAACATTTAAACGGATAATTTTAACCAAAAGTAATAAATACAAGAATTCCACGTTGACAGGTAAGAGCGCACCCCCTCTAGCGACACCTTTGAAACTGCCCCTTCTACACGGTAATATTCAATAAAATAACCAAATGTTAACTTGGTGAAGGAGGTACGGGTTTATATGACCATCGAACAGGTGCTTAAGAAAACGAAATGCTTCCTCAGGAGAGTATTGAGCCTACGAATGTTTGAAATGCGTAAAATCCACCGAAACACAAGGTTGATTTTAGTGACGAACAAATTTATTTTCACTATAACTATTCAGCTAAATAAATATTAGTATTGTGTATCTAACCGCTTGTGTTTGAGACTTCGATTAAAAACAATGTTAGTTAAACTTTATTCATCAAGAAAATAACTATCATCACTCAAGACTTACCAGTATGACAATTTGGAAGTCCTTTCAAAGAATTAAACTCGTTTTCTTCTTCGTATGTTCGTCTTCTAAAATTGAAAAGGATATTAAAATAATTAGTATTGTCCTTTTATTGAGTTGCTTGTTACCAAAGCATTATCACGTAAGAGGAAGAAAGAGGAATTACAGGAGAGTAAAGCAAAATATTGAATATATACGGAGTGGAAAATATTGTTTAAAGCAAATGTTTAGTACACATTAACAAAATTGTGACTTACTGGGAAAAAATAATACTTATTGTACTTCATTTCCTATCAACGTTTCCTATATTCGTAAAGTATGTCCAAAGAATCTCAAAACTTCACTAATACGCTCTAAAGACATTAAAGCATATTTTTTCTAATAAACTACTGTGATATTGGAATCGTTTAGCGCAATAAGCAGTCAAAGTTGGGTTTGAAAAAAAATGCTTTTCTAGCTAAAAATTCTTACAGGAAGCATAAAAACCTTCTGAAACATGTGAATTGTCTTTTACTATACAAAAGAAATAATAATTTGATCAGAAATAAAAAACAACACAGAAAATAGAAAAATCGGAAATTTACACAATTTGACTGCTTTTTTATTCTGAATAAATGTCTTCTGAAACCAATGTATTTCTTTTGTAAATAACTAAACAATGCTACCACGTTTCCAGAAAGTTTCTATGCTTCTGCAATGTAATTTTGCTTAGAAGCATTTTTTCAAAAACCAATTTTTGAGTGCTTGTAGCGGCTCCTACCCAAAATTCGAAATACCCAAGTTGTTATATTAGACAAACATGCTTAAAATTTCTTAGAGCTATTTTTGAAGTTTCCACGTTTCCTCTCGACCACATATTTATGTACGTATGTATACGTATTATTACTAT